TGTGAAGGTTCATGAACATCGGTTTCCTTGTTATCCCTTTGGCTTTCAGATGTGAGAAAATAAAGATGAGGGAAACTGACAGCCCTTTTTCATAAGGTTTCAACTTTGCTTCCATCTTCTCCCAGAACTGCCCATTAGTTGATACAATTGGAGAGAAGTCAGGAGAACAGTTGAAAGTTCATGAAAAGTTGGTTTAAAAAAATCTGATGATCTTAAATGTGCTCATCAGGGCTAGAAGAATGCTAGACTATCACCGAGCATCTAGTTTACTTGGCTGCAAGAATGCCACAGATAACATTTTTTTCCTTCATTTCAGCCAAGTATGTGCCAAACTACCCCACGATATTTTGGATGGGAAAATGATTAATGATGGTTAGGACAGAGGTTAACAACACCATACTTGCAAATGACAGGGCCTATCTAATCATCCTCAAATAATACTCCCTCAATACTCCAGCATTAAATAAAAATGTTTTTTTTAAAAAATGGGGAAAATCTGGTGAGATTGACAGCCTCCTGGAAGACCTTACATGACTTCATCTCTCATTTGAGAACAAAGGCCACTCTGCCTCGAGAAAAATAAAATACCTGAGGGCATGTGATTGGCATCAAGTTTATGTGGACTGAAATACATAGCATTCTTTTTCTTTTTGCTACAAAGTAGGTATTTATAACACCTCCAGAGCTGCTCGTTGTTATATATCTGGAGACTCAGGACATGCAGAAACAGATGCAGGTTTACAACTTACATTGTTCCCTTTCTGAACTAAAAGTTTCACTCACACCCCCACAGATAATTATCCAACTGAGCACTGCACCTCATTCTGTATAATGGCTCCAAAGTACTACAATTCCCATCTACTTCTCTAACTTGGTACTGGTGCTTTTCCACTTGAATCATTGCATTTAGTTCACAAGCGACCACTTCGTGTTTTGAGAACTATCCCTTAGAAGCAGAGATAGTATCTGCTTAAAGATTTTCATTTCAGTATTTTCTCACAGGCCGCACGAGTGGAAATCTTCCATAACAAAGCTTTCTTGAGTGAGTCCTACATCCATTTGTACCACCACCTAAATACAAATATATACAAACCGAGTAGCTAGAAATCTGTGTAATGACTACATAGTAACATGGATCACAGTATGGTGACATTTCTTCTCATTATGATTAATACCAACTTTTTAAAACTGTGTAAGGTCAATACCATAAAATTGTATTGCACAAAATCTGCCCATCAGCTTATGCGAAGAATGGAACTGAAACATGATTAAAACCGCTCATAAGGAAAAGCAACTGAACCCAAATGCCACTAAAATCTGGAGAAGATTAAAATTGCATTACCCGTTACCAACTGAAAAGGGCTTCCTTCCTGTTGGTACCCTAAGGCCAAACTGTGTTCCTTGCTATAATGCAGTTTACATGAGTTTAAAGTATTTGAACTCACTCATCCCTCCCCAAATTACCATATATACTTGCAGATAAGCCAAGAATTTAGGTGCCAAAATACACCCCCCAAAAATTGGGTTTGGCTTCTTCGTGGGTCAGCTTATCTGCGGGTGGGACATTTTTGAGGGTCAGCTTATCCGCAGATGGGTTATACGTGAGTATATATGGTGTAAGTGATGAGAGTGGCAATATCAGGTAATCAGATTTACTCTTTAAAAGGCGCAATAGAAAAGGAAGAAGCCATGGAGAAGGTTGAGGAGAAAAGCAAATTCTGACACAATTGTCCTCATATTCTGCTTGGAGGCATCTGACTGAGCATTCTAAGAAACAAGATGGTGGACCAGACAAGCAACTTTGCTCTAACCAGTGTTGTCCAAACCTGGCCACTTTAAGATGAGTGGACTTCAACTCCCAGAATTCCAGTTCTTTTTACAATCCACTCATCTTAAAGTGGCCAGGTTTGGACAACACTGCTCTAACCCAACCGTAGGAATAATAGTTCTTTTTACAATCCACTCATCTTAAAGTGGCCAGGTTTGGACAACACTGCTCTAACCCAACCGTAGGAATAATAGTTCTTTTTACAATCCACTCATCTTAAAGTGGCCAGGTTTGGACAACACTGCTCTAACCCAACCGTAGGAATAATAGTTCTTTTTACAATCCTTACTTACATAGTTATTCCTTAACTTTTAAATGCTTTCCTCAGCTGGATTTGCAACAGTGTCCGCCAGCGTGCGTGTGTCAAAACCTGCAAGTTGGCAGGCGCAATATCAGAATCAAAACTCTGCTAGTTTGCACACGCATCTTGCAGATCTTGACACACATGCACATGGATATGCACGCTTGAGTCCAAAGCAAAGTAAGAGTTGCTAACATCAAAGTCAGTCTAACAATAAAAACAGTCAGGCATCATAAGTAAAGTCCTTTTAAGTAGCCTTGTTTATAGTTGTTATCATCTTTGTAATCTACCTATCTTGCTATTAGACAGATTGAAAATCTAATACATAAGATCTTTAACAAAGGCTTGAAGTAGTTGGAACTTCTCATAACTGACATGTTTTCCATGATGCCCTTTGTGGCATCATGACCTTCCCAGAACTGGTCTTTTTTCTGGCCCAATGGGCAGATTTCTATAGTGCCACAAACACTTATTGTTTTTATTTTCTAAGAAAGCCGCTGCAGGGCTTTAGTAGCAAAAGCTGCTATTTTGTTTTTCAGCATGCCACCTTCCCATTTATTATTTTTTTTCAATGAAAAGGGTCTAAAAATGATATAATAAAGAGGTCCCCATAATGGAACTGCACTATTAGATTGATTAATTACATGCCATTGAATTGTTGTCGACTCTTAGCAACCACATAGACAGATTTTCCCCATGACAATCTGTCCTTAACCTGGTCCTTCAGCTTTTCCACCAGTGCGCTCATTGCCACTGTAACTGAGTCCGTCCCCCTTGCTGCTGCTCATCCTCTTTTTCTCTTTCCTTCCACCTTTCCCACCATTGGTGCCTTCTCCAGAGAACGAGGTCTTCACATAATGTGTCCAAAGTAGGATAATTTGAGCCTGGTCATTCATGCCTTGAGTGAGAACTCTGGGTAGATTGGTTCAATGATCCATTTGTTTTTGTTTTTTTCTTGGCTGTCCATGGTTTTTTCAGGACTCTTCTCCAACATCCACACTCAAAAGTGTCGATACTCTTCCCATCTTGCTTCTTCAAAGCCCAACTTTTGCTTCCATAGAGGGTCACAGGGAATAACCATGGCTTGCATGATTCTGATCTTTGTAGGTATAGATACATCACAGCGCTATTAGGCTGTAATTCAAACAGTCATGTCCTAAAGAGGGGGTTCAGCACAGCATTGTTGGAACTAACAGATACCTTTCCTTTTGGTCTCCATCTAGAAAAGCTTGGAAAAAACAGTCACATCCCAAGTGACGGAAGCTGTCCAGCGAGAAGTAGAGAAATATAAATTAGCTGAAGGTGAGATGAACCAATGGGGATTGCGGGGCAGGGGGGTTGATAATAGATTGATGTTTGGGAGGGAGCTCATAGATAGTAGGTTAAGATGGGGAAAGCTTTGCCCCTGTTTAGAACACAGATTTGACTGTCCCCAGTAGTGACATTTTCATCAGTACTTTGAGACATAAACGACCATCTGGAAATCATGTTATTTCCTGAATCAGCACCATTGCTGGGGGCTTTATGAAGGCAAAAAAGATAGTTTCTTCTATTAGTCAATTTCCCCTAAACCCCATTGATCAACACTGTATTAGTCAATGGAGGAAATATTGTGGCAAGTATCTTCCCTGCCCCACATTAAGCCCTGGTTTTAGTTTAATATGGTGCAAGATTGTATAATGTAGTGTGGGAAGTATTAGAAGTAAAGGATGGGGTTTCAACTGCATGATCATGACTGCCATCTTGATGTTTTTGAGCCTCCAGTGCAGACACCCCTATAAGGGGGGGACTGTTTACTTTTTTAAAAGTCTTAAGTACCATATTGTTGAAAATGATTTACCACCAAAAGCTCGGGGAGTTTGCTCATTTGCCCCATTAAAAGTTGCTGGAAAGTTCCCCCACTTTGGTGGGGAATTAATAATTTAAAATTTCCACAGCAGACCCTTTCTCCCAAGGATGCCCCAATTAAAATAAGGATAGCTTTCCAATCTCTAGGCTGTCTAGCTGGAGTATTCTTGGCCTTTTTAAATTTTGGAAACTTTAACTTGTGCCAGTCCTGAAACAGAAGGGGTAACTATGTAACCACGTGCACATAGAAAAGGTTTTAATGAGAAATTGTTTTATAAAACCGGTGAAGCCAAATCCCTAGATCTTAGAAAGGAGTTGATTGGAGAAAGGGGAATGTAGGGAAAACAAGGAGAAGCTGCAATTGCACACACATAAAATTCCAATTACAGTGGTACCTCTAGTTACGAACGCCCCTACTTATGAATTTTTCGAGATACGACCAGCTCCGGCCCCAAAAATTTACCTCGACTTGCGAATGCGCCTTGACATACGAACCGGATCCGCGGCCATTTTCCGCCCGTGCCACGTGGTCCGCGGCCATTTTTCCGCCCGTGCCACGTGGTCCGCGGCCATTTT